ATGGTATAAATAACATAAATATGTATGTACTGATGCCTTAAAGAAAACTTCAGTATGAAATTAATGACTCTCTCTCCCCACGTTTTTGTGAAACCAGGGCTTTGAAAGCCAACCTAAGCTGTTAACAGCACCACCACCACCACCACAGCTCCGGGAAATGCTCTCTGTGTAACCCTCCTTGTTGTACAACCAACAAAATGCAGATACTCCACAGATACTCTCAGGTGTGCCTCCTTTCTTTAATTAGCTCACCATTATAATTCCTAAAAATAATGAAGCAGGGGAAACCAGTAGAATTGAAAAAGAAAAACAGAGATGTTTGGGGTTTATTTTGTCCATCATTCACTTGCATTTTTACTACTTGGAATTACAGTATTAGAGTTGCCATATCCCAGCTCAAAATGCATTATCAGTGTGAATTAATAAATCTAGAGAACTGATATATGGACACAGGCTGGGAGGTAGTATTAGTTTAATGGAGATAAGAGTGCAAGGTCATACATATGAAGTCTTTAGTTACATTAGGTCTCTGAGGAAACATAAAGGTCATTTTCTACTGGGGACAGCAAAATAGAATCTCCCTCATTCCCTGTCACCTGAAAACTTAGGTCAGAAACTTCATTTTAAATCCAAGCTGCCAACAGAAAAGACCATCTTTCATCTCCTTCTCTCCTTTCCTTTCTATTAAAAAAAAGTTTTTCAAACCTGTTCCTTCATCCGAGTCACTGCACATGTGAACAAGCGCTGCAGCTGATACAACAGGTATGGGGAACAAGCATCCAGGAGCAAGATAGGTCCAAGATTCACCACCAACCCAGACCTCTGCTCCTTTAAAGCAGCTAGGTGACCACAGTTACCATTAATCTGACATTTCCCTAGTTTAGGTTTATGTTTCTACATAATTTACTAAGGTGACCTTCATTTCAAACATTCCAGTAAATGTGCTTTTTCATACATTTTTATTCATGGCAAAATTAAGGTAGGGGTTGATTCTCTTGCCTGTCATACAGCAAGGGTTGAATGGAAGAGAACCTGGAACAGGACACCGGGAAGATGCTTCTACAGCTTTTGTCAGTAAGTTGGGTTTTTTTGTCACTTTTGTTAGTAACTAGATGCTAATCTACAAGACAGTGAGACATTCTGTACAAACAGAGGTGGTCAGTAAACATCGCTTTCACCTCTCAGTTTCATGGAGAGAACTGGTAGGAGAAAAGGAAGGGAGAAAAGAAAGAGGAATAAACTGAACAAGCTCTGCTGGGGGTGTTTATTTCACTTCGGAGCAAGTTGCATTTCCACCTAGAGTTAATTAGAATCACAGTTATGAACACTGGTCCTCCAAATCCCTGTAGTGTCCTGACAGTTGTTGCAAGTCCCATGCCATGAAGAGTGTACAAAGAGGATTAAAATCCACCAACAGTACCATGAGTGATGCGGACTTCAGCATTCTACACAGACGTAGAAGAGAGGAGAGGTGTGAGTCCTCACTGCAAAGGAGAGATGTCATCCTCGCTCTCTGGAATATGGTGTTTCTGCTCTCTTAAAAAATATTTTGCTCCATTAATAAGATTTTCATACTCATCTGGATGAGAAGCAAAACATTTCAAAAAAACCCCGGAGGACTATCTTCAGTGGAAAAACTGCTTTTGGACAATCTCTAGCCACAGAGGCTCAGATAGACAGCATCCTGCTGCAGGGCAACTCTTGGCCACAGGTTGCGTGCAGACCTTGGAGAGCAACCACTCCTCCCTCCCGGAGTTTCTATTCAAGTTTTAAACTTGACTTCAGTTCCAGCAGAAACAATAGGAAACTAGTATCCACTTTTATTAGAAATAACCTTATTTCCATCCATAAAATCCAGTAAAGCAGTCACCCCTTTAGCATTTACAAAAAGTTAAGGCAAAGAACTACTTCAAGTTTTGTCCACCTTTGCTTCCTTAAAGTCTAATTTCTTGTAGTCAAAACTAGGTAAGCAACCTCAGTTTTAACTGTGAGTGGTTTGCAGGGCAGGATGGTATTTGTGATATGCATAAACAGAATGGAGAACTCCGTCTGTCGAGTAGCTTGTTTGATTTGAGCCAGCCAGCAAAAACTCCCTGGAATGACAGCCAGCCACTGTCTCTTACTAGTTTTCCTAGAATCATAGAATGGTTTGGGTTGGAAGGGAACTTAAACATCATCCAGTTCCAACCCACCTGCCATGGTAGTTTTAATACAGAACCAATCACAGGTTGCTAAAAACAAGACAGGGAGCAGTCCAGTTAACTTACAGTGCTCTAGTAGGTTTCTTAGATACCAGACGTCTTTTGCAAAGTAATTATTGAGGTGCTATACTTTCCTCCCCATAGCAAAGAGTATAGCACCACTATATACACCACCAAGTATAGCACCACTGTTCTAGCACCCTCCTAAAAACATTTACCAAGTTCTGACTGATTACTGGAAGAGATTCAGTTACCCAAGTGTAGGTACTGGTGCCATCTCAGATGTTCTGCTATATCCAGCTCCAGAATGTGACAAGTGTAATAGCTGCCAATTCCACACTTGTGCCCTGGCTAGCCAAACCATTTGAAATGTAACTGCACACCTACGGTCAGGCAGCTAAATCTGACCTATGAACAGAAAATAAAATCATCACTTTCAAATAAAACCTTGGTAAAGTGAGAGAGCTCACAAGCAATGTGTTACTATTTTCATCCTGGCCAAGAAAACCTGAGCAATTTTCACCTTCCTTAGTGTGACATAGTATCTCTTCCTCTCATTCATCTAAACCTTGGCATCACAATTCAGAGAATGCAGAGTGGGTGGATACAGACACACCAGCACATCACAGATTTACACTTGCACTCTCCTGACTTGGCTCTCTGATGCTGCAGAGTCATGTGTTCACCGAAGTCTCAAGATGTTCCCATTATTCTTTACTCATGCCAGCAGAGTCGCAGCTTTCCAGTCAGAGGAAATTTGACATTTTCGTGGCAAAAAAGAACTTTGCACTTTACACCTTCCCCCCACCACCACGTATACAAGACATTGTCATGTGTAAATCATAGCTGACACCTCAGACTACCTATACTACCATACATGTACCTAACCTCCCTTCTTCTCTTGGGAAGGATCAAGAACCAGCTTTGGGCCAGACACACCATTCTGTAACAACCACCTCACTCAGGCAACTCTTTCCTGCACAACACAGCACACGTACATGAGTAATGAACCCAAGTCTACCATCAGAAGGAAGTGAAGAACAGCTCAGAACACAAGGAACTGCCCTGGGAGAGGGCTGCAGCTGCTAAAAACCCCCTAGCCCAGCCTGGAAGAGCCTGGAAGAGCAAGCGGGCTGATGCAAGAATGGGTCAGAAGCAAAACTCACTGCCCTGGCACTTCATTGCCTCAATTCTCTCTCGTTCCCACCAGTTCCTGTGCATGCCTTCAGACAAACAAAGTATTACTTAATACGTCAGAGGGAACAAAACACTTTCATAAAGCCTTTCTTAACATTACTGATAACATACAGCTAAGAAATCTATCACCTACAGCAGTATCAAATAACGCTTCAGACCTAAATTAAGTAATGGCCTACAGCTGTTTAGCTGGAAGGACGTTAGGCTGCCTACTAATCCTAGCACTAGGACAATACTAGTACTTTGCAGTTACTACCTACCCAAGTGAAGGAGTAGGTTGGGAAGGTTATGGTACTTTTTTTAATTGTAGATTAAGATATTAAGGCCTAATCTCCAAAATATCCATATGCCTAAAAACGCCTACGGGTGCTTAACCAATTTGTCAGAAGCAGTTCAGCATTTCTCCACCATCAGGCCCACACATTCAGAGTGTCTAGAAAGAACTCTTTGGAACAGATCTTCTAGGTGGTGGTGTCATCCTAGACTCTGTGGTAGCTTACTTTCTCTTTTATGCTCACCCTTTTGCTCCCAAACCAGGTAAGACACAAGTTTATCCAAATTCACAGAATTCAGAGTCAGAGAAACAAGCTTCCAAAGCAGAAAAGATGAAGTCTTTGAAACACATTTAAGATTGTAAACTGGTCGAGACTAGGAGAATCAGGAAGAACTACAGCTGACTGTCTCTGTTAAAGAGGAGAAGCACTATACAAATGGAGAAGCTGAGAACAGGAATGTAGGTGGAATAACGCAACACAAAACACAATGCAAAACCAGGAACAAAACTCAAGCTGCTTCATCGAAGTCCATTTTGGTGGGTGAAATGGTATGTACCTTTAGAATGCCCTGGAATATATTAAGCACAACTGAAACCAGGCTTTAAAAATGAACACAGTATTTTGTATAAAAATATGGAAAATAGGAGGACTTGCTAAAGTCTAGTATATAAAATACCTAGAGCTACGTACATTAGTAAAAATGAAGGAGTCAAAGCTACCTGGATGAAAGTATTGGCACCCTACCCTAAGTTCATGACATCACGTTTTCTCCTAAGGAGCGTGATTCAGGCTAGCTAAGGAAATACGATTTTACACCTTTTTCCTCATTTCATTCTGAATTCCACCTTCCCCCCCAAAAAAACCATTCCCTTCTACAGCCTTTTCCAGATACTTTATAGTTCAAGATCAGAGCTAATATTTGCTTAATATAACTCTGAAATAAGCACTTTACTCCTACTGTACAAAAAGCTCCCAGGTCACTCTCAGTTCCACGATGACAAACAGCTGTGTTTCACATGAATCGCAATCTTTTCACAAATCCATTCTAAAAAAATGGTCAAAACCAGTACTACCAGTTCAGATCCAGTTTACCTGTAGTTTTTCTTCAGGGGTTTAACTAAAACTTCTTGTAATATTGGAAGTGACAAATTTAAGTCTATCAACATTGTCATCCTAATGACACAGTGTAATAGCAAGAATCCTAAAGTCAGAACCATATAAACCAAAAAAGTGGGCGGTTTTTTTAATGCTGTAAACAGCTGACTACACAAAACAAGATGTGTGGAGAGGGTACCAGTCTTCAATGGGAGTTGTTTTGGTTTTGGTTTTTTTTTTGCTTTTAATTCTTGTACTCGTTGAACAACCTCTGCAGTCTTTTGTTACTTGGAAAAATTGTATGAATTAATGAAAATAGGCAAAATTTTATTTCAATACCAGATTTATGGTTTGTGTGTTACACTGGGGCCGGCTTGACTGATATTAAACAGATATGTCTGAAACACAAAATGACATAAATTAGACATGCCATGGGACATGTACAATTAATTTCTACTAAAATGTGGATAATTAAACCCACTTCTACACCAATTCTTTTACACTTTTAATGGTGATAGTGACTAGTATTTTAGTAACAGGGTAAAATTCAATGAAGTGTACAAGGACAGCCATACAACTCAAAGATAATGTTTGTACAGCTTCCAATTTCACTGTGAAGGTATCCCCCCTCCAAAATAGAAATAGGCACTTCATCTTTAAAAATGAAGCACTCTCTTTTGTTCTTCAGTCATCATCAACAGTTGGCTTGATTGTCACTCCTCTTCTGATTTGACCCCAACCAATTAAACTGCAAAAAGAAAAACAGTTTATATTACTTTCAATAGCAGTCAGAAACATCCAGGATAAATCAACATCCTTCTGTCATTCTTACGCCTTCAGTTCTCCCATTTTGAGTTTTCTCAATCTCTCTCCCACCCAAAATATGCTACAAGATCTAAGACTGGTTAGTGGAAACACAGAATAAAAAAGGATGAGGGACACAGAGCATCTGTATGTTTGTAATCAGTTAAGGATGTGTCTTTGAACAGTAAGCTAAAAAACTGAGAATGTTGTAACTTATTTTGCACTGGTGGACTGTAAATCTGCTCACAGCTTGATCTCTTTCACCTATGCCTGCAGTGCTGCTTTACTTGCAAACAGAAATGAAAATGTTAAAATTCAGATCAGATGAGAGTAAGATTATAAACAGAGCTGTAACTCTCAACAAACATGTAACCTATGAAAAATAACTCAACTCTCAGGTAAGTTTGACTATTTATATTCAGTTACATCAAGGCCCTTTTTATAGGCCACTGTTGCCTCAGAAAAACACACTTGTAAAAAGAAATTAAGATTATGCAAATTTCCACAATCAGCAGCCAGTCCAAGTTATAAATACACCTGTCTTTAAAACATTTCCAGTTTCTGGCACAGAGATACAGAGAAACGTATCTCAATTTACCCGTGTGCATCAATTTAATTTGCTAAGCAGGAGATGCTGTCTCTGGCCCCCAGAAAAGGAACTGGAGTATATTAGCCCCTCATTTCCCACTTTTTAGGACCATATCCATAGGTTATAACTAGACCACCTTTGAATTCACTGTTCCTTGGAATCACTAGTGTATTCTGCTTGCTTGGCCATTTGCTGTTTAACCTCAATGCTCCTGTATTTTAACTTTGTATTTTGTAACTCCTGTTCATCTCTTGCTTTCTCACTTTCTTCCATCTTTTCAGTACTCCATTGCCTCAGGCCACAACTCCCATTTCACGGTACCAACTGTGTATTATCTTTGCTTCAACTGGATTTTATCACACTGCTTTTCCCAGTTTGCCACCTTTCCCTTTTCTCAACCTGGCAACTTTTTAATAACAGGATTTTTATAGCAGGCTGCCACTACTTGTTCACCCCATAAACCAGAGACAAGTGAGCTTTTTGGTTTTTCAAGTGGGAAGCAATCCACAGAAGCAACAAAACTCACATTAGAATTTCCACAGCCTGTCAGTCTCTAGGTCACAAAAAGCAATATAAAAAGTTTTTCCTCTTCTTTCCGTTTCCCCTGACTTAATTTGGGTCCTGTCTTTTTTTCCTCCCCCATCCTGCTCAAGAGATGTTGTACTTA